CTAAATATCTCCCTTTGCCAAACAGGGTGCCCTTGAGGTCGCACGCCACATTGGACTCACCTCTGTGCCCACCGCGGTGCTGGCAGGCAAGGTGGAGGGTGAGAGGAGGAGCACAGCCTCTGTTGACCAAAGCAGAGTCGTTTCAGGTCCGGGTGAGGGGACAGCACCTTGGAAAGGGCTCCACTCACTCATACCCCTGTGCCCTTCACGTGGCCTGAAACTCCCACCATCAGCGTTGGCTTCGGGGCAGGTGTTGAGAGCACAGTGTGGGTTAGGAGCAAGTGTACCCAACTGTGTGACAGAGGAGGAAGCGGAGGTCGGGGGCGAGAGCGCGCTCACCGGGGAGCGTGAGGGGCGGCACGGACAGGGCTGCCGGATTTAGGGGGGAAAGCCAAGACACCTGGTTAAATTTGAATTTCAGATAAACGTGAAAACAGAAAAAGGGGCCAGCAGGTGGTATAGTGGTTAAGGTGCGGGACTCCCACATGGCTGACCCTGGTTCGAGTCCCAGACCTAGTGGCTTGAAAATCACACCAGGCATGTGTGTGCGTTCCCAAAATCCCAAGGAGAGAATGGAGGAGGAGGGGTTGCTGTGTGGCCGTCCCCCCAAGCTGATTCCTCACTTTCCTTCTCCCTGTGCCTGTCCGTCTCCTCTCCAGTGAGTGCACATGCCCTATGGCAAAAACCTTTTCTAAAAAGTCTTTAGTAAAAGTATATCCCATGCAGCATTTGGGACATAACATCATTTTTAAAAAAGATGATTTGTTGTCGTTGGAAGTCAATTTTAACTGGAGATCCTACCTTGTATCTTGCAAGGCTAGCCTCTTCTCAAAGCCCTCCCTCCCCTGTACCCACCACTTCACTTTTGGGAGCCCCCATAACAAAAGCTCCCCATACACTTTCACTTCTGCTTCCTCAATGACCCACAGCCTGGAGGGAGAGCCCCACTTCCCCTCACCCTATGCCAGGCCCCACGGCTTCACAGAGGCCTTTTCCTCTCCTCCCCCAGAGGTGGCTTGTGAAGGACCAGCTTGGGGAGCTCAAAGTTCAGGCAGGCCCCCCCAAGAAAGACCGAGAGGCCAAGGGAGTAAGGTGGGGTGGAGTGGAGAGGAGGGGAGACAGTCCCGTGGGCTCCAAATCAGAAGCTCATTTCATGCATCAGTCCCCAGGGCTCAGCTTCCGCCAGCAGCTTCCCCTTAGGTCCCGGCCCTGGTCACCCACGACAGCACTGGGGGCACAGCCCATCTCGGGGCAGGTCCTCGGGTCTCCAAGCCACAATGCTCCTGCCCCTGCTGCTGTCCCTGCTGCTAGGCGGTGAGTGGGCCGAGGGCAGAAGGGACCGGGTCGGGGCTTGGGCTGGGGTGGCAGGTCGAGCCTCTTCTCCCACAGGGTCCCTGGCTTACAACCTGAGGTCAAGCTACAAGCTGCACGTGCCTCAGCCGGCCGTGACGGTGCAGAGGGACATGTGCGTCCTGGTGGCCTGCACCTTCTCCTACCCCCGGGACAGCTGGACCGACGCCACCCCGGCTTACGGCTACTGGTTCATAACGGGGACCAACGCAGACTGGGGTGTCCCGGTGGCCACCAACAACCCTGACCGGGAGGTGCAAGCGAGTACCCGGGGCCGGTTCCAGCTGCTGGGGGACCCCCACAACAAGAGCTGCTCCCTGCTGATCAGGGACGCACAGGAGCAGGACGGCGCGGAGTACTTCTTCCGGGTGGAGAGAGGGCCCAAAGTGAGATTCAATTACCTGAGAGCGTTCAGGCTGACAGTGACAGGTGCCGCACCGGGGGCTCCCCGCACCTCAGGGCCCTCTGGGCGGAGCGGGCCGCGGAGGCCCCCGGAGTACCAGGCGCATCCCTCTCTCCATCTCAGAGCCGACTCAGAGGCCGGATGTCTACATCCCCGAGAGCTTGCAGCCGGGGCAGCCGGCCACGGCCATCTGTGCGTTTAACTGGATCTTCCCAGAGTGCCCGGCCCCGACCTTCTCCTGGACGGGGGCTGCCCTGTCCTCCGGAGGGACTGGAACACCGACCTCCTACTCAGTGCTCACCTTCACGCCCAGACCTCAGAACCACGGCACCGACCTCACCTGCCGAGTGGACTTCTCTGGAAAGGTTGTGAGCACCCGGACCATCCGACTCAGCGTGGCCTGTGAGTGTGGGCAGGCTTTGGGGTGCACAGACAGGCCGGGTGGACAAGGTGGTGGTATAGCCCACTGGGCGGTGAATGACTTGGCGCCCAAGAGGGTCCACGGAGAGGAGGCCACACGGCCTGCGGGGTGGGAAGCGTGGGCGGTCCCTGCTGTCCCCTGAGCGTTGGCATGTCTTCCCCACCACAGTCGGGCTGTCCTTTCCCAGAGGGAGCTCTTTCCAGCTGTGGGGACACGGTCCCCGAGTAAGCTCCCATCCCATTCTTGTTGCAGATGCCCCCAAGGACCTTGTCCTGCACATCTCCCGGGACAACACGTCAGGTACTGGGCCTGCGGGGCTGGTGGCTGGGCCTGTCCCCCTTGGGGCTGAGAAGACTCCAGGGACAGGTGGAGATGCTCTCTCGCTCTCGCGCTCTCTCTCTTCAGCTCTGGAGCTCCAGGAAAATGTCCGAAGTGTGGACGTCTGGAAAGGCCAGTTCCTGAGGCTCCTCTGCACTGCTGACAGCAACCCCCCGGCCACGCTGAGCTGGGTCCTGGAGGACAGAGTCGTCTCTTATTCCCGCCCTTCAAGCCCGGGGGTCCTGGAGCTGCCCCGGGTGGAGGCTGGGGACTCGGGGCTGTACACCTGCCGGGCTGAGAGCAGGCTTGGCTCCCGGCACCGTTCCCTCGTCCTGTCTGTGCTGTGTGAGTGTCCCCGCAGGGGCCTGTTTCAGGAGGGGAGGGCAAGGGGTCAGGGGACAGGGGCAGGGCCCCAGAGCTCGGAGGGGCCTGGAGCCCCAGGCCTAGGGGACGGCCTTCTTGCCTGTCTAGACCCTTGGGTGGTCTGGGTTGGGGACCTGCCCTCGCCCCCTCCCCACCACCTCAGTCTCCTTTGCCCACAGGGAACCCCGCCCACCTAGAGCCCACTCTGTCTCCACTGCAGACCCGCCAGAGGACCTGAGGGTGATGGTTTCCCAAGCAAACGGGACAGGTAGGAGCAACAAGGAGGGCAGGGCCTCCCGCCAGTGGGCACAGGTGGCGAGGAGTGGCTGGGTGCTCCCAGCCCTGGAGGGCCAGAGCCTGCGCTTGGTCTGTGTCGCCCGCAGCAACCCCCAAGCCAGCCTGAGCTGGGCCCTGGAGAACCAGACCCTGGATCCCTCCCAGCCCAGGGACCCTGGGGTCCTGGAGCTGCCTCGGATCCAAAGGGAGCACGAAGGAAGATTGACCTGCCAGGCCCGGAACGCGTGGGGCTCCCAGCAGGTCTCCCTGCACCTCCAAGTGCATTGTGAGTGGGGGTGGGGACGGCGGGCCTGGGAAGGGGCCTGGGGCCTGGGAAGGGCGTCCCTCTGACCCTCCCCTCCCTCCACAGACCCCCTGCAGCTGCTGGGTCCCTCCTGCTCCTGGGAGGCCCATGGGCTGCGCTGCAGCTGCTCCTCCAGAGCTCGCCCGGCCCCCTCCCTGCGCTGGCGGCTCCGGGGGCAGCTGCTGGGGGGGGAGAACAGCGAGCGCCCCTTTTTTTAGCTCCGCGGGCCCCTGGGCCACCGGCTCCCTGAGCCTCCGCGGGCCGCTCAGCTCGGACCTCAGGTTCAGCTGCGAGGCCCGGAACGCCCACGGGGCGCAGAGCCTGGTTGTCCTGCTGCTCCCAGGTCAGGCCTGTCAGGGTTCTGTTAGGGAGGAGGGGTTGAGTGGGATGGGGGTAGGACCCTGTGGTTAAAGCATTGGCTGGAGCTGGTTCTGGGGTCTGAGGCCGTGGACAGAGAAGAAAATGCAAACGGAAGGCGGGTTGCCTGGGCCTGGAGTGCGGTACGGTTTCTGGAAACAGAGAAGGAGCCCAGCCTCAGTGGTGCAGGCGGCAGCAGCAGCTCTGCAGTGCTGGAAGCCATATGACCAACATGGGCTCAAATCCCCAGTCGACCTGACATCCTGGAGGAGGCATCGCTGTGGGACAGGACCAGGCAGAGGGTGCCTCTGTCCCTCTCATGGAAGAAAGAGAAGAAACTTACAAAGGGGGAAGGAAGGGAGGAGGGAGGTGTCGCAGGCCCCACGCCCACAGAGTCAACTGGACGCCTGAGCTCCTGGCGGGAACAGGCTTCGCCTGGCCGGGACGCCGGGAGAGACTCAGCCGACCCTCTCCTGGCGCAGATAAGGGATCCCTCTCCACGGCGCTTTCCAACGGCGCGTTTCTGGGAATGGGCGTCATGACTCTCCTTCTCCTCTGCCTCCTCCTGATCATGTGAGTTAGGAGGGGCAGCCATGGGCAGGGGTCTGGCGGGGCAGAGGGAAGGTGCAACAGCGCCGCCAAGTGGCCTTCTTCTCCTCAGCATGAGGAAGAGAGAGACCCAGGCACAGACCTCGAGGCCGGCGTTCTCCCGGGCCAGCACCATCCTGGACTACATCAACGTGTTCCCCAAAGCCGGTCCCCTGGTGAGTGGCCTGGCGTGCTGCCTCTTCCTTCCCTTCTTTAAAGCTAGCGCCCCTGTACTCCCCTTCCCTGTCCTGCCCACCCTTTGCCTTCGGGACATGGGGGTGGAAACAGCACAAGAATTGTATTCGCATCCTGCCTCCATACTTCATGTCCATGAGACCTCAGCTAAGTCACTCCCCACTCAGCCTTCCTGTCTCCTTCGGGAGTTGGTGGGAGGGTTAGAACAAATGCACGTTCTTTTTTTTTTATTATTTACTTTTTTTTTTCAGAGGTTTTTGCTATAGGGCGTGTGCGCTTGCAGGAAAGACAGAGAGAGACAGACAGAAAGCGAGAAATCACTCCCCAGGGGGATGGCCACGCCGCAATCCCTTCTCCTCCATTCTCCTCTCGGGATCTTGGGCACGCACGCACA